AGATAAAACAGTATTAAATGTGGTAGTGGAAATTTTGAAATAGCCAAACAGTTTTGCTCCTTGACCCCTAATTAAAAGCAGTCCATGGTCACCTCCTTTGTGAATGGAGCGAGATTTTCTGGATCAAAATCTTGTGTCATCTCAAAGAAATTTAAATAAAAATAATAACCATGACTAGCATTTATTGAGCACCTATTGAATGCCTGGCATTGTACAAGGTCCTTGGCACATGAGTCACTCAATAGTCCCCGAGACCTTACTGTCTGCCAGGCATCATTCCAGGTGCTAAGGACACAGCAGTGAACAAGATACCCAAGTGCCTGCTTTCCTAAAGCTTCTATTCTAGTAAGAGGAGATAGTCAACAAGTTCTTAAAACAAACAAGAGAATCAATGCTATGCACAGAATTAAAATCCAGTAATGTGACAGAACCACTGGGGAGTCAGGAAAGACCCCGATGAGGGAGGTAGTTTTAAGCTGAAACTTCAATGAAAGGAAGATTCACCTCAATGAAGGTGAGGGGGCAGAATTTAAACCTCAAGAAAGCTCTAGCAATGCTATTGCAAAGAGGAAGAAAATGAAGCTCAGAGAGGCTATGCAACTTTCCCATGGTAGGGCTGGAATTCAATTATTGCTCCCTTGTCTGTAAAGCTGCACTGTGAAGCCCCACTGTGAAGATTCAGTAGAGGAATAGGAATATCAACCTGAATTATGTCTATAGAAATATGTTTCCAAGTTCCCAAGAGCTACTCTTAAACATTAGTCATATTCCATCCATTTATCAGAACAGTTATTTTATCAAATAGGTAGCATTTATGCCTGCGATTGTTTTAACAGCTATATGAGTCTAAGAATTCTTGGGGAACTTGCTAAATGGCAGACTCCTGGGTCCCAGTTCTAGGCAGTCATTGTTTCAGCAGAGTCAGGGTGAGGCCTGGGAAACTTTATTTTTAACATGCGTCTTGGTTCAACTTGAAGAATGTATAAGAAGAGTGCTTTTCAACTAGGAGTGATTTTTTGTTGTTGCTTTCATGGGACATTTGGCAACAGAATGCGAAAATGTTGGTTGTGACAGCTGGTGTGTGTGTGTGTGTGTGCATGCACATGTGTGTCTCTCACAGGGATCTAGTAAGTAGAGGCCAGGTGTGTGTGTGCATGTGTGTGAGGGACAGGGATCTTAGAAAGTAGAGGCCAGGGATGCTGCTCAACATCTCAGAGCACAGAGGCCAGCCTCTGCAATGAAGAACTTTTTGGCCCTAAATGTCAATAGTGCTGAGTTTGAGAAACCCTGCCTTGGGATTTAACATCTCTTCTGCATCAATCTCCTTTCCTACTCACCTCAAAGAAAATTTCTTAGAACCTTCTTTAGAACTTCCATAGCTCCTCTCATGTTAAAAACGATCTTTCTGGTTGGTTCCGCTACCTGGTAGAAGAAAACTTTATTTAGGCCAGGATCTCTGCTTCATGCATTTTTGAGTTTGGCCTCATCCTCACTCACTCCATGAATGATTATGCCATTTCAAGCAAAATTCATTTACAATACCCTTGGGACTGACCACAAAATGGTTCTGTGAGTGATAACCATAACTAGTGTTTACAGAGAGAAGGAAGACCCAGGGGCCTAATTTTCAGTCTAAAAATCTAATACAAATCTTCCAGGTTTCATTTAAGAAAATGGCTATCTTTTTTTTTTTTTTTTAAACATTCACCAAATATCACAGTTGCTTCCGGACCTGCCTGGGGGTGTGCAGCTGAGTCAGTCATGTGAACATGAAGACCGCCCATGGTGCTCCACCATCACACGGACAACCTCATTGGGTGTGTCTGCTGTAGTGTCTGGCTACCAGTTGGCAGCTCTGAGCAAACTAATTCAGTCCCTAAGCCAACCCTGAATTCCAGGAAATTAAAATCCAGCAAATAACTCTATACAGATCTGAGAGGAAACTGAGCAAGGTAACAGTACCCTCTAAAAATAGCCAGGTAATTACTTTTGAAGATCTTTCAAAAAGATTCACTAAACTGTACAGACTGAAGCAGCAAAGGGCTTATTTGTTTGTTGACAGAAGCTGTCTCTATGTAGTCAGCAGACTTTGGAATGTTGGATACCCAATCAATATTTGGATGCCATGGAGTTACTATGCTACTCAGCTGACCAGAGTTAAAAACAAGAGACCAAGAGACTACCCTTGGTGAGGCTGATCTGGCCACATTTTTTTACTCAATTGATCATGTTAGTTTTCCTCACTTTGCTTCTTATTCCAACTTTAGCACCTGGCATGAATATTGTGGTGAAATGCATTCATTGCTCTTTCACTTTATGTGTTGGAGCAATCTATCAGCGCCATCAATTGTGTAAAGGCTCCTTTTAAAGGTATTCTACCTCCAGCAAATTGGTGAATACAGAAATGATTATATCACAGATTGGTTATGAAGTTCAACCAATTTAGCAATTTTCCTCTTGTGGTTAATTATCCACAGAATGTTTGCTCTTTTTCTTCTTCATCTTTTAATTTTCAGTCTTGGCAATCTGCACTAAAGTGACTGGAAGTTATGAAAAGTATGAAAATGTGTCTATTTCAAATAGTTGGCTGAGTTCTTCATCAGCTGGAGGCCCAGCACAGGTGTGAATATTTGTTTATAATCCAAACACAGCAAAGTAAACAGTTCCATTTTGCACCTTTTTTCCCTCCATACAATGATATGAATATTTCCTTTGTGATGGTCAGTGACTTTGTTTAACTTGAAAGAAAGCCTGAATGGAAAGGAAGGGACGAGAGATTCGTAACTGTTTGTACAAGGGCCTGAAGTGACTGACGGCTCAACTAATCTGGGCGTAGAGCCCTGACATTTTGTCAGCTCCCCTGAGGAGTCAGACGTGCTGTCCACGACACACCTGTCAAGTGCTGATAGAAAAACAACTCTGTCACACATAGCCTTCAAGGCTACATATGTGACCCTTAACCCCAGAACCCCTTCTGGAGTTTTCCACTGAGTATCAAAAGCCTTTCAAATATTTCCAGCTGGACATCTCCATGAGCTGTAATGGCAGCTCAGCATTCTAGCGCTGGTGGTCATTGTTGAGGGGATTCCCCTCTCCCGGCTGTTTTTCTCTCCTGCATGTGAAGGCCCAGTTCTGAAATCTCTTTGGTAGCAAAAGAGAGGAGCTGCTCTCATCATCTAAAACTCAATCTTTGCCTCCCAGCTGAACCTGTGTGTCTTCCTGAAAGTGGGATATCTTTGAGGCCACTTAGATTCCTGTCTTCATCTCCAAGGTCTGAAACCCTTGAATGGGCCTGCAAGACAATAAACTTTTCCAGGCTATGGTGTTCAGTGTCTTCCAAGGGCTTGGTCTGGTTTCCCTTCTTGCACAAGAGACAACAACAAACAGGAAGAAACAGAGACACCCCTGACGCCAGGGGATGATGTTAGACAAATACTGAATTTAAGACAATCTGCAAGTCTTTGCTACTATCCTGATAGCCACCAGTAAAGATTGTGGGAAAAGAAAAGAAAAGATGAAAAAAATGGGAAAATACGCAATATAGGAGCTAAATCCAGGAGAAATGAATTCATAACTAAAGCAATAAATATCCTACAAGCGCAAAGATGCCTCTTCATTCAGTATAGCAAGAAAATAAGACAGTTGACTGAGCCTATTCAGAATAATAATTAATCAGTTTCAAGGAGGAAAACAAAACCACCTTCAAACTATGTCAGCTGAACTCCAACAGGGATCTCGGAATGCTTGGGTTGGTCACAGCTTTTCTTAAGATAAACTAAAACGGCCTTGGACAGAGTATCCACAAACCAGCACACCAGCCACAGGCTGGTTTAAGCCAGAATATTTCCGCAGCTTCTTCCAGGGATGGTTCCTTTTTTCTCTGGTTTCCCAGATTGTCAGACTAAAGGACCCAAGCATTTGCTGAGCACATTAAAGCTCATACTCATAGTTCCTCTATAGAAATTTCCACCGAAACGAGCTAAAAATAACTAAATGAAAGGAAAACCATGGACTGGATCTTTAGACGGTATTAACATCATTTCCCTCGTTTTATAGACGAAGAAACTGAGATCTAAAGAAGTGAAGTGCCTGTGCCCCCAGGTTACTAAACTAGTAAATGACAAACTCTCAATGAACACATCAATTTCCTTCATTTCTTTAAAGCCTTGGGCACCGCTTATTTCTAAAGCTGAATGTACACATTACTGTAGCTTATAGATACAAATTATTTTATAATCTGTGATTGTTTAGAAACAAACAAGTGGCTCATAATAATTACAGTTCAGGGAAAAATAAACTAAAAAATTATTATTGTTCTCAGGAATCGTTTTTTTTTTTTTTGGATGCCATTCATGATAATGTCTCCTTAGGATATGAATATTAATTCAGCTAGCCTCAGTGCCTGAAGCAGCTGAAGTCACTGTTTAACCAAACACCTGGAATGTTATATTTTTCAAACTGTCTTTTTTCAGGACAACTCTGCCTGCAATAAGCTTTGTGACCCATCCAGCTTCCTTGGAAAGTAAGGTTAGCTCCCCCACCATCTCTGATGGATCCCAGTCTTAACATTAAGGCATTTCCCTCAAATTTTCTTTAATTTAAAAAAAATTTTTATATTGGAGCATAGTTGATTAACGATGTGTTAGTTTCAGGTATATAGCAAAGTGATTCGGGTATACATATATATTTACCCTTTTTTTTTTTTTCAAATTCTGTTTCCATTTAATTTACTACAGAATATTGAGCTGAGTTACCTGTTCTATATAGTAGGTTCTTTGGGCAATCTATTTTAAATACAGCAGTGTGTACATGTCAATCCCAAACTCCCAGTACATCTCATTTCCTTTTAGAAGACTTGTGTACCATCAGCCTAAGGTAGCTCAGCTTCCTCAGTTGCCAAATCCCTAGACAGATCAGCCTAATTCTTGTTACCGTGTCCAGGGATCTGCTTGGGCTGAAAATCAACACAACTCTCTTGTAACAGAGCAGTGGTCTCCTACCTTTTTATTCAAAGACTTGAGTCTCAAGATCTGGGAAACTGCAAAGGAGTGGGAAGGATCAATCTCTGGAAGGAAGGAATGAGAGAAATGTGCAAGGTCAAACAAAATTTTCTGTAGATCTGTTGGTTTCTGAATACTTTTTCTGAGGTCACATAGTTTATCTTAAGAAATGCTGTTAAAATGTTGACTGCAAAGGATGGTGCACGATCTCACTGCTCCCTACACCTGCAATACAGGCATCACTTGGGAGTCTGTTAGGAATGCAGTATCTTGGGCTGCAGATCCACTGAATTACAGTATGAATTTCAACAAGATCCCCAGGCAATTCAGGTGCACAGTAAAGTTTGTGAAGAGCCTTGTGGTGAAGAGATCCATACAAGTCCCTCTTCATTTTTATCTCTTTTATTCCTGGCATTCAGAATCACTGGCTAAGACGCAAGCCTTTTCCAAATATTTCTTTTTTTTTCTCCACCTGCACCTGGCTCATTCTTCACCTCCTCTCTTAGATTCTTGTCCTGCATGTCCCTTGTCAATCTTCTTCAACTCGAATCCTTAGAATACTATTTGTTTGACATAATATATCACTTTAGAGGTTTTTTTTTTTTTCCTAGAAATCTCTCATCTCTTGGAAGTCTTCTTTTCAAGTATAGGCCACTCACTCATTCTTCATTTTTTTTTCTGATGGCCCTTTTCTATTCCTTTATTCTTTTTTAGTATAAATTTATTTATTTTAATTGGAGGCTAATTACTTTACAATACTGTAGTGGTTTTGCCATACATTGACATCATCCTTCCTTTTTATAACCTATGACAAAAAGATTTCCCCTAACTTATCACAGATGCTTCTAGATCACATTCATTCTAGAAATTTTCTTTTGAGAATTTAAAAAATATGGCTTAGAGAAGCTTGATAAATTTGTCTGGGTTAAAATTAAGAAGATGGGTCAATCAAAGATAGCAAAAGCAAACAAAAAAACAAGTTTTCAGTGCATATATCACTCAGGATTAGCATCTAGAATATATGATGAAATGCTATATGTTAGTAAAAAAGTAAATCATACAATATAAAGAAAATGGGAACAAGAAACATCGAGGCAATCCACAGAACAGGAAACATGAACATCACACAAAACATGAGAAGATGCTCAATTCCACTTCTAATTAGGGAAATACATGCCAGGACCTTAGTAAGTACCATTTCACACTCAATTAAGAAGTTGGACAATATCAAGTGGGGATGATAATCTGAAGTAATGGAAACTTAGACTCCTGGATGGAGTATAAATGTTTATGACCACATCCGAGAATAATCTGGCAGGATCTAAGTCAGTTAAAAAGCCCTTACTCTAGGACTCAACAGTGTCATTGCTAGCTGAGTCTAGAGCAGCTCTCACCCGGATGCACAACGAGGTATGTGTAAACTGGGGCAAGACTGGAAATGACTAAAATTGGAAGCAACTTAATGTTCACCAAAGAGAATGATAAATAAATTTTATATTCATATAGTGTGAAACTATGCAGTAGTTACATGTGAATGAACCTGAAGTAGGTATATGTGTATGTGGGTGTATATGTGTATATGTGTGTGTGTGTGTGTGTGTGTGTGTGTGTGTGTATCTCAACTTGAGTGACTCTCATAATTCAATGTTGAATGAATAAAAGGAAATTATAGGAAAATGTACAGTATCATTTCTGTAAAAGTTTAAAACATGGAAGTCAAAGCTTTAAGGATACATGTAAATTTAACAAGAACAAAAAGAATGATAGGCAATGATAAGACCTATTTAATAGTAATTACTTTGGTAGGGGCAGGAGTGGAGATATATCTATGAGGATTTACCTAGGGGGCTACAATGGTGTTGGTATAGAGCTTTTATTTCTTAAGCTGAGTGATGGATGCAAAGGTAATGATTTTATTTTCTTTGTAAACTTCTGAGGATCTAAAATACTAATCAAGGTGAATTAAAACAAAAGAACTTTTCTTTAAGACTATATAACTCAGTCATGTCACCCTCTTCCCAGTTTCGTTACCACAGTATACTGATGAACTCATATCCAGCCTACAATTTTCCTCTCCATCCTCCCTACCATCAGCTGCATGATTTCAGCAGCCCTGTTGCTCCTGGTCCTCTTCTGCCCCAGCAATCTTGACCATCACTTGCCCTAGGTACTCACAAGATGGATTTTAGATCTTGTCACCCAGAACATCTCCAGCCAACATTTCCTGATTATCTCTTCCGCTACACCTTTCACGCTCCTTCCAAGCCTATCTTCAGTCAAATCCCCTGGGGGGGCTCAATGTTCTTGCCCTACCTTATTCCTCAAATCCTCTCCTGAGTTTTCTTCTTCTTTTTCAACAACCCTGGATCCACACATAGCCAACATCTTAGAGCTTTTGTCACACCCATCTTGCCTAATTCTAACCATCCACGTTTTCTACTCCTAGCCGAGGATGCTGAATAATGCTAACGGAAATCATGTAACAGTCTTGCCCTGCATCATTTCAAACCCATTTCCTCCAGAGAACCTGGCCTCCAGACTCTGACACCAGTTTTTTTATTCACTCCTAGCTGAAATCATTCCCAGCACTGGCTTCCCTTTGCCAGGAGTGGAAAGTTAACTGTGTCCTGTACAGCCACGGAGGTGCCTGGGGAGTAGCTTAGGAGAAGTCTTCTCAACCGGCGCAGGGTCCCCTTCCTCAGTTCAATCAGAAAGGTCTGCTTTAATAATTTAAAATATGTCTTCTGAATAAGATTTCATTTAATTAAAAAGGGCGGGGAGCTGTCCTGCTTTTGAAACCTTCAGCTTTCCACTGCACTGGGTATAGAACACGAACCCCTTAGCCAGGTGTACACGGGACATGGCTCCATCTCGGCTCTGACCTGAGCGAGTGCTACTCAGCCCTGGTTTCCCACCCTGCGGGCCTAGGGCCCTTCTGCTCTCACCTCTAGGCCCATGTGTGGTTCCACCTGCCAACACACCTGCCCCTTTGTCCTTTGTGTGCCTGACCCCTTACTTTCAAATTCCATCTTAAATGTCACCTCCCCCAGCATTTCTCTTTATTCTTAATCACGCTATCTTCTCTCTCTCTCACAGCACTCCCTGCACCTTCATTCAGTTTGGGGTCTACCTCCTCGTTGAGTGTCTGTTTCTTCCACCAGCAGACTGTAACTCCCTTGCCAGGAAGCAGCCTCTTTGTCAAGGTTCACATTCAGTGGCAGGGCCAAAGTGGGCTGGGGGTGGGGTGGGGTGGGCTTCAGACCCTCTTTAGGTCCTCAGAGAAGAAGCTGCACCTGAGACCACCCCAAATAAGTAGGTAATTAAAGGAGAAACCCTGGCTGTGCACCTCTGGCTTCCCAGAAAGGGCCCCAGCCCTCCCCCTTCCAGCCAGATGCCCCAGGACTTCTGCCACAGGGAAGTCCAGGAGCTGCACCAGAGCCAGAGCCTCCCTCGTGGATCCTGTTCCTGCACGTAGGAAGCAGGCAGGAAATATTTTTTGATGAATCAATAAATTGTGAAAGTCTGAGAAGCACCAGGCTAGGGAAAGAAAAGTCAGCTCCCCTAGACTGATAGGAACAAGAAAAGTAGGGAGGTCAACCTTCCCCATCCTCTCCATCACTGGCTACCTACCCATGACAGTCTATTTCAGGACAAAGGGCAATAGAGCCAGACAAGCCTTCTGAACCAGCCTGCCTTTCAGCATCTGTGCTACATAGAATCTTCGGATATGAAGATCTGGATACTTGTGGAGGTAAGTGTTGAAGGAGTTTAACTGATTTTGTAACAAAATGATTATTTACTGAAGTATTTCTGGATACAACTTAAGCATCCTTGGTCCATCTTAAAATAAGTGGCAAGTCTTGAAAAGACTGTCATTATATGATGGCTGTCATTATAGCAGGAAGCAACAGCATTATGGGACACAGAACGGAAGTTAGTCACCTCAGATACATGAGACAAGTAGATGTGATTAGGAGTAAAGGCTGTCAAACTCCAAGCTGATAAATCTCAGTTATCCTCCTGTGTGTACCTGGGTTGCCATGGCTGAACCTTTGCTTGGCAAATGTGTCCAAGTACTTTTTCTCCCTAAGCTGCTTTGCCTATTGTGCTTGTCCACAAGGCTTGAATGGAACACAGAGAGATAGCAAACATGTAGTCTGTGTGGGTTTATTTGTTTTCCTGTGCAAACAAGATTGAGTTCTTTAGAAGAAATACACAGCAGGAGTTGATTTCAGGCATAACACAGGGTAGTACAGTATGGGTGAGCACATGGGTCAGCACAGGGCGGTGAGGTGGAGGTTCCGGGAGGAGGGCAGGTGAGTATGAAGACTGTGTGGCTACTCTTCCTGAACAATCATCATAAACCAGGTACTGTGCCTTTTACATAGCATTGATTGTTACTTTCATAAATACTATGAGACAGGTTGTTGTTTTTAGTTGCTAAGTCATGTCCAACTCTTTTGTGACCCCATGGACTGTAGCCGGCCAGGCTCCTCTGTCCACAGGATTTCCCAGGCATTTGGAAAGAATATTGGAGTGGGTTGCCATTTCCTTCTCCAGGGGATCTTCCTGAGCCAGGGATGGAATCCATGTCTCCTGCCTTAGCAGGCAGATTCTTTACTGTTGAGCTACCTGGGAAGCCCATGAGGTAGGTACCTTTTTCAATAACCACTTTTTAAATTGATGTGTATTTAATTTACAATGTTATGCTCGCTTCAAGTCTACAGCAATGTGATTCTGTCAGACATGTATACATATAGCTCTTTTATTAATATATATACTCTCTTATGCATATATACTCTTTTTCTGGTTCTTTTCCATTATAGGTTGTTACATGATATTGAATATACTTCCTTATGCTATATAGTAAGTTCTTGCTGCATATTTTATATATTTTATATATTTATATATATTTATATATTTTATATAACTCCTAATTTATCTGCTTTCCCTGCTATCCCCTTTGGTAATCATGAATTTTTTACCTATGTCTGGGAGTCTATTTCTGCTTTGTAAATAAGTTCATTTGTATCATTTTTTAAATTCCACCTGTGAGTAATAACAT